TATATATATATAATTACGAGTTAAAGTTTGTGGTCTATGCTCAATGGTAGAAAGAGACATCCCAGTCTGTGAAACTGCTCTTACAAATGCCATATTCGCAATCAAAGTTAGACCATAAGCCACTGGCCACACAATAAAAAAGTAAAACTACATTTAATAATTACATTGAAACTTGAAAAAGTGTTAGACCCATACAAGTCAACAAAGTAAAAGGAAAAGCATCCTTGCTCTATTGATCATGAAAGACCAACATGCATGCATGAAGAGTGGTGGAAATGGAGAAGAAAGCATGAAAGGATGGATAAAAAAAAAAAAAAAAAAAAACGTTTTTCATGCAAAGCTTGAAAAGAGATTATACCTACTCCTTTGCTTTGGATTGATGAAGATTAGCCTCAAAAGGATGAAACCTCTACACTTTAAAACCACCTTGAGAGATTAGAGAGTAGCCGTGGGTTTGAGAGAGAGTTTTAGTTTGTTTTTGAGTGAACAAGTGAAGAATGAACTAAAATGCAACCTTTTGCATATATATTTACAATTATTTATTTTTCACTCCAATAAAATCTTATTTTATAAAGGGACTCCACGAATTTATTATTCTACCCTTTGAATAATCAATATTATTCAAGGGCCCATGTAAACTAAACCAGTTTACATTAACAACCCATAAATTTACCCTTTTTACCTTTAACCATTAAAAGGTTATTTTTGTTCATCTCATTAATCTTAACACTTTAAGATATAATAATTAAATATAATTAATTATTGCTTGACCATTTTAACCCTTAAAATGTCACAAATTTTTTTCTATGTAACTATTACTATAGAAATCCCGTCATTACCCTTGGAAGGTGCTAGCCCTCTTCGGATAATCATTTCTCTCTCTCATCCTTCTCTAACTTCTCAAGGCTATTGGTGTGACCATGTAGGTCTATCGTGGATTAGTCGTGAGCCGATTCTAGATGAATCCTGAAACCTGTCCGGAGGCCCAACGACTATGGTAAACATCTAATAATGTGCCATAGTCCTTAAACCACGATGAAGAAATACTTCATCGAACCTATTTCAGATCATACGTACCATGCAGGTAAAGTCCCTCCATTGAGATATCCTGATCGAGCATGGATTCATGGAACGTCAAAATCCTAAACTCGATCTTCTACCGAATCGTCGATCAATATGTCCGGAACTCGTCATCACAAATTTGCTTTTATATGACTAATAACAGACTCTGGCCAAAGATTCTGTTTTCTGACATTTATCGATGTTCGTCTAGGAACTTGAATCCGGATGGAGTCCGCGGTACTCCCGATCCTATATTTCCGAGTCAATGGATCCCCTCTTGACTATCATTCGTTTCCGCATATGAACAATGCATGACCAAATATGTTTTATTATACGAAACATGATTAGTCTTGTACTTATACACCGTATGAACCATACGCATCCATATCGGATCCGACTACAATGTCTCAGGTCAAAGGACTACATCGTGCACTGATATAACCAAGCGATAAATCATTGACTATATGCTTTTCCAAGTGATTTGTTGTTATTCAGTCACGTTCGAAAAACAGTTCACCAACCGTTAATCCATACCAATGCCCCAGTGGCATGACTATCATCGTCATCCGTACTTATATCAACTCATGATATCTTTCGGAAGCATCCGATATGCCCATTGTGCAATATAGTTGCCCAAATTATATTGCTTCCGTAGGGAACCCTTTTCGATAATTCATTTACCGATTAAATGAATCATCTGGACAATTCATATACATACTTTATTTTAAATGCATGACTGAATAAAGGAAGCAATTTATATATATGAATTGAAGAACACTTTCTTCCATTATTTATGATATATATATAGATACAAGACAAATGCTCTGAAACCGACAACACGAATGGTTTCTAGGGCATACACTAATATATACTAATAGATCAACATGACAACCAATCAAGATTTCCAAAGAACTAATTCAATTCAAAGAAAAAAAAAAACACTAAGGGTGTGGTTGGGAGTTTTTTTTCTATTGGTTTTGAAGAGTTTTTAATTAAACTGATTTTGAGGTGTTTTAAAACTATTACTTGCCAGATTTTTTATGCACTGGTTTTGATTGGCTCAAAAACCCCCCAGAACCAGTGTAGTTTATTTTTGAGGGGTTTATAAAACACCCCAAATCGAGGTGTTTTGGTTGGTTTTAAAATTTTATTCCACAAATACCCTACCATTATAAAACTATCCCATTTATATCCAAAAAAAAAAAAAAAATTTAACCATATTATGCACGTCTTCAACCATATTAAATATAAAATAATTTTAAGCAATCATAAAAAAAAAAAATTATTAAAATCTCATTTCTAGATGCTTTCTTGGAGAAGTACAATTACATTTTTTCAATCATTCCAGATGCTGCAAAGAATGACGAAGAAGGATAAGAAGACTTTATCGCATTTGAAGCTATAAAATACTAATAAATAGAAAACAAATATAGAACTCTAATCTTATAATTGGAAAAACAAAACTCTCAAATACTAGTTAGAGTTAGGGTATTTTTATAGGTATATATGTAAATTTATCATTTTAAAAAACTATTAGAACCGTTGGAAAATAAAGCACAAGTTGGATGTTTTAAAAACCATTAATAAAAACACTCAAAACCGCTACGATGGTTTACCCTTAAAACCGCTATGGTAGTTTACCCTCATAACCATTATTATGAAACTCCCAAGCAAAAGAAATGCTTAAGGGAAAGATATCAAAGGGTCCAATACTATTTTTGCTCAAGGTTCAAGAATTAATGAAATATGCCTCAAAAGATTAAATCTTCCCTTTCCCAATTTACATTTGCAACTTAAACTCTGGGAGTTGAACACACATAAATACACTATAATAACAATTTACCAAACACCAAATTAGAAGTAAAATCAGACAATTTTAAATATAAAATATATAGAAGAGAGAAATAAGAAATGCTGAAAAGTATATCATGTTAGAAATTCAATTTCATTAAAAGTTTTACATTTAATTTTATAAATGTGGCATTCAACAAACACTCCGAGTTACCAAACAATAGTGACTTTGTAAGGTGTAGATCATATTGCGCATATAATTTCCTTTACCATGTTCTTTAGAGTACATACAAGATTAATAAGACAACAAACATCAAAGGGTCCATTTATTTTGTTATTTTGGATATGATTTTTGAAATAGTATTAGAGAGTTGGATTGGATTATTATTACGAGAATATAATTTGAATAATAGAGTGTTTGGTAGAGTATTTTAACCTTGTTATTTGTGTTGAATAAATTGTTGAATATTTGTTTGATATATTTTTTATAAATGATTTATTAATATAATATTTTGGCGCATTTTGTTACAATAATTTATTATTATAACATAAAAACTTATCAATTTACATTTTAATAATATTAAACATTTGATTGGTAATTTCGTAACCACTAAATATTAAAAAAAAAAAAACCCATATTAATTTCAAGTACTAATCCAACTGTTTAAAAATACCACAGTAATACATATATGACAAAGCTACTAATTATCAACCCTTAGAATTGTTTGTACACATATACTCTATTAACAACTACGACATGGTCATATGTGCTGCCCACAGTTCAGTCGTTATGTTATCCTGTACAGTCGTCATGTTGTCTATAATACCTTACTGTGGTTGACTCGATCCCTCTCCATTTCCACCCTTCTACCCTATTTTGGCCATCAAAATATACTTGCTCATTATTCGTATTTTCGGTATACCGTTGAAAGATAGGGTCCTCCATATTGTATATTACGATAAAATTATGAAGTACACAACATACCATAATATTCTTCCCTTGTTTGTCCAACGGGTAACCTTCTTTTTAAAACACCAAAGGTTCTCTCCACAACATTGCGAAGTGATGCATGTCTATAGTTAAACAATTCTTGTGGCCCCCTTCGGTTATGACGATAATTAGAAATATGATAAGCCACTCGCCTATGAGGGGCGAGGAACCCCTCTCTGTTTGGATAACCCGTATCAACTAAATAGTATTTTCCTATAATAAAATCACACATGTTATTTGAATTCCAAGGCCTCAAAAGTGGAGCCAATACGCTATAATACATCAAGAAATTACTTATACTTGGTGAAGGATGTGGGAATCTAGAATTATGATCATCAAGAATTGAATTTAAAACTCTTGAATCATGCACAGATCCTTCCCACCTAGTGACGACATAAGTGAATATCATCCTAAAGTCGCATACCGCCATTACATTATGTGACAACGTTCCTTTGCGATTCCGGTACCTATCGCCAAATTCCTATGGAACCGAAGCGTATACATGTGTGCCATCAATGGCTCCAACACAGTCCTATCATCAAAATTGAATTTTAGTAATATTAACTGACTATTAACATTAATAACACAATGAACTTACCCATCCACTAATATAAAACATAACAAAGTACCTTAAAAAAAGGATAATATTTTCAGTTGGTTGATATTTCCAGTGGAACATCACTGAAGTCAGGTGACCTAATAAACTCTGTCTTTAACTCACATACTGCCTTGCAAACTTCGCCAACATATCTAGAGATCGTCTCACCCAAATGTTGGAAATCCTCCATCATCGTTCTGATTGTCTCGTTTTTACCAACGATAGTAAAAATTATCATAACTTGTTCTTCAATACTCATCCTCTTGATTGGTCGCAATTTCCCTTGCTGTGCCAAAATGTAACATAAGTATGTAAAACCGTTTTTTTCCATGCCGCACTTGTCAAAGATTTTGTCATCATGACCATTGAGTACTTTTAACATGTAATCATGACCAGTTAATATGGATGTATGTCGTAGTTGACGCCCATCTGTTTCTAACTGGGCAATAGCGCATGGTGCAATAGTTATATCTATCAGTATTTCTACTTCGTCATCTGTAGTACGTCGCCTTCTTCCTGTACGCTTAGACGATGTCATTTAAACCTGCACATTTGCAAAACATTGATCAACATTTAATAGTGTAGTACTTAACAAAATATAACAGTAAATTTTTAATTCTAATTACAATCCCAAACTCATATGAAACATGTTATCTCACATAAAATAATAGTACAATGAATAAGTTCATACAGTAGCAGATATTTGAGGACAAAAGTTTGGTTTAGCCATGAAAAAATAAGTGTCCACTAGCACATACAAAACTGTGGGCAAACAATTAGGACATACAAGGCCATCTACAAATTACGAAAGTCGTTATAAATCCAATTAGCCTTTTCCTCGGATGGGAGTTTTACGAATACCTCCCGCCACCCTGGATTTTGATATAAGTACTTGACAACCGGCATGTAAAACTCTGTGGGTACTTGCATAGCCGCCAAGATGTCAATACAATGGCTCATGGAAAAAAGATCAGATAGAGCACCGGTGTTCTCCTCGTCCCCCTCAGCTCCACTGCGATTGCTGGCCCTTGATCCCATACTCTTGCTCTCCACAAGCACGTTTGTCAATCTGTCAACGACATCCACAAGTGTCAGTCCTGGGTCGCTTCTCTTCCTCCTATTTCTCGATCTTCCATGACCAGATGTGTTTGGCCGTTTTTCCCCTGTCGTCCGATCCGGATCAGGTTCGAAGTCACTATCCTCAATGTCAACCTATCTTTGATTGGAAGAAGTGACGTTCTCCACCGGTTGAGACGTAGATGTGTACGCATATCTGCCTATGGCAGTTTGCTTCTCAAATATGACTTCATACAGCTCCTTGTCAGGAAGTCCCTTGTGGAAGAATTGTTGTGCCAGTGGATTTTGCTGGTAATGAAAAATAAACATATATTAATATCTGTCAGTCCTAAAAAAAAAAAAAAAAAATCGTAAAAATACGATGTCGTTGATTAATATGAATTAAAAATTTTAAAATTTATATTGACATATTCTTGCAAAACCTGTAAGGGATACGTTGGAGTTTGTGACTCATGATCCCAACCAAAGCCCGTGTGTTGAAGCAATTTTCTCCATGATTGATATACTTTTCTCAAGCGAAAATACTTAGAGGTTAGTTGTGTCACGTTGAGTCTCCTCCTAGCCAATGGTGATAAGTCATTCAACATTTCCTAGTACTCTACTGTTTTTATTGAAGTACCATGGAAAGTTTTTGCCCGCTCAGACAATAGGATCATAAATTTGTGGGTCATCTCAGTGGACCAGTTCACAGTATCACTTATCTAATAATAGTACGGTGAGAACGAAAACCAAGATTGGGACACCATACTAATCAACAAACAAATTACCAACACACATACGCATATTTAAACCTCATAAACTAAACACAGATAAATCGTTACCTCGTTTGATCCAACACTACTTGAAGCCATCAATGCAGGGGAAGATACAGGCAATGTTGACCAACAAGGTGTATGACGAACTCCAAGTCTAGAAAAACGTTGAAACTTCCTCTTCTACTGAAAGTAGTAATCGCTCCTATGACGGCGGGCCTAATTATATTGACATTTGTTTATATGATCATAATTTGTTCTTACAATCAAATAACGATGCCGAATCTGCAAAACAAATATATAAGTTAGACAAATCCCAACAAAATATTTGGAAACATCGAAAAAAATTTACTCCTAAAATTTCTCCATGACCTCGCCACACAACACTCACCACACATTGTTCAGTTTCTTTTTTCTTTTTTCATTATCGGTAGTTTCTTTTTTGTTTTTCTTTTTTCATTACCTGTACAAGTTGTTAGTCCCTTTCAAGATTTACATCAATTTGTTGTTTGTATTTTTAAGAATACGAAACCGATTGGTGCAATTGGACCTAATTAACCAGTTTTTGCCCACTTTAAGATAGGTACATTTATGTTTAATTTTTGAGCTAAAAAATCATCTTGCTACCTGTATTTTTAGGTGCCAACCTATGTAAAAAGAAAATGAAACAGATAGGTGCCAACAAGTTTAAATGTGTAACTGAAAGAGATAGGTGCCTAGATCCAGCAAAGGAAGTCGCCTATGGAGACAACGTTGGAGGAGGGTGGCCGACAATGGTGGTGGCTGTTAAAGATCGTGCGACGATGGACCTTGAAGATCGTGCGACGATGGTGGATCTTCAAGATCGTGCGACGATGGTGGTGGATCTTGAAGATCTTGCGACGGTGGATCTTGAAGATCGTGTGACAGTGGATCTTCAAGATCGTGCAACGGTGGTGGTGGATCTTGAAGATCGTGCGACGATGGTGGTGGATCTTGAAGGAATCATGTGACAGTGGACCTTCAAGATCATGCGACAGTGGATCTTGAAGATCGTGCGACGGTGGATCTTGAAGATCGTGCGACGATGGTGGTGGATCTTAGGTTTTTTTTCTAATTCAGGTGGAAGATTGTTTAGAGAGATTCCCGGTGATGAGTGGTGGCGGAAGACAGACAATGTGCGGTGGTTGGGGAAGATTTTTGTTATATGGCAGCTTTTGGGACACAGATCTTGGGGAAGGAGAGCTGCAAGATCTTGGGGTTTTTTTTTTTTTTTTTTTTTTTTTTTTTTTTTTTTTTTTTCAGGTGGAAGATCGTTTGGAGATAGATTTGGGAATTGAGAGGAAGATCGTTTGTGACGGTGGTGAAGGAGTGAAGACAAAACAAAAAGAAAGACAAAAAAAGTGAAGAAAGAAAAGAAGAAAACATTGCAAAATAGACAGACAAAGGTCACATTTTTCAGAATCAAATTTTGAAGATAGTGTTTTCTAAATAATAAAACAAACACTTACTCTGAAAATAGGATAAGAAATAGGGTTGAAAATATTAAAACAAACGGACCAAAAAACTTTCAAAAAAATAAACCCAATACCCATCAAAGGAATTGTCTAATAAGCAACTTTAATGATAATACTAAACAAAGCACACAAAATGAAACAAATACATCAAGGTTTTTGGTTAAAACAAGACATGAAGTGGTCACATGGGAAGAATTAATCAAACTATAATATCAATAAATTTCCTAAGAATGAAGAAAAACCATTCTAATGAAGAAGAACCATTAAGGCATTTCTCTAAAAATATCAACTTAATGATAATACCAAACAAAGCTTACAAAATGAACAAAACTAGCAAGTCTTTTGCTTCAAACAAGTTATAAAGTGGTCAAGTGCAGTGAATTAATCAAACAACAAAATCAAAAACTTCTAACAAAATGAACACAGCCCATCAAGAAAATTTTCCAAATATGAAGACTTTAATAATAAAACCAAACAAAGCTCACAAAATGAAAGGAACCCAACAAGCGTTTTGCTTCGGATAAGACATAAAGTGATGAAATGCAGTCAATAAACAAACAAGAATATAAAAAATTCAACATAATGAAGACAACCCATCAAGAGAATTCTCTAAAGATAACAACTTTAATACTAAAACCAACAATGCTCACGAATTGAAGGGAACCCAACAAGTGTTTTGCTTCGGATAACACATAAAGTGATGAAATGCAGTGAATAAACAAACAAGAATATACAAAATTGAACATAATGAAGTAAACCCATCAAGAGAATTCTCTAAAGATAACAACTTTAATACTAAAACCAACAATGCTGATGAATTGAAAGGAACCAAGCAAGGGTTTTGCCTCAAAGAAGCCACAAAGAGGTAAAGTGGAATGAATTAGCGAAACAGGTATATCAAAAAAATAAAAATAAATGAACACAAACCTAACGAGATTCCCTAAAAAAGATAGCTTTAATTATTAAACCAAACAAAGCGTAACAAATTAATCAAACAATTTCCAAAAAAAAAAAAAAAAAGAAAAGAAACAACCCATCAAGTGAATTCTCTTAAAACAACTTTAACTCTAAAACATAACAAAGCTCAAGGATTTTGCTTCTAACAAGACAATAAGTGATAAAATGTGTCGAATTAATCAAACAATAATATCAAAAAATTTAAACAAAAGCACCACAACCCATCAAGAGAATTCTCTAAAAATCACAACTTTAACGGTTAAACCAAACAAAGCTCACTAATTCAAAAGAATCCATTAAGGGTTTCGTTTATTTTGCTCATCTGTGTACCTCCAACAAGACCAATGCTGCAACCAGTGCCAACGCAGAAAGCAGAACCCATTTTAGCGAGGTCCTTGAGCTTAATTTGAGGAAGCTTCCAGATCAAACCCTTCAATTCATCATCTCTTCTACCGTTACCGTTTATCTCTTTCATCTTTTTCAAGTTAACAAGCAAAGAGACGAACTTGATGTTGATATGGGTCTTTGTACTCTATTTCTCAAAACAAAAACAAACCCACTATACAAAATAAAACTACACCATCATTCAAATATAGGCCCCAGACAAACAAGCCAAAATAAAACTCAAACCCAGATATACAAATTTCTACACATATTAACCCAGAAAAACTAAACCTTAACAGTTCACAACAGTAAAAATCCAATTTTTAAACCAAATAAACAAAACCCTAATATAATAACCATTATTATGAGAAATCCTGAAGCAATGGTACAAAATAATGAACTAATAGAACAAAAAACACAAATAAAAACAAAACCCTAAAAATAATGGTTTGTTTTGAAATTAAAGCCAATTTTTTTTTTTTCTAAAAAAATAAAGAAAATAAAAGAAGGAAACCTGGCCTTTGACTTTGAGGTTGATGTAAGCCGATTGATCGTTCGGCTTCTTGTCTTCCTCTTGCGGTGGATTGCTAACGCCTGACATGTCCTGTTCTTTTGTGTTTTGCACAACCTTCCATCTTTCTTTTATACTAGTTTTGAAAAATTATGTTCGCTCCCTACTTGAATGGAAAGTAATAAGGTAAACCCCAATATAACATTTGACCCCTAAACAATGTAAATGAACCAAAATATCCTCATTTTGTGTTGACGGGAATTAAATGTTTTTTCCCAGTAAATAATTGGGTATATGGTAGCACTTTTAAAATGTTATTGTATTTTGATTATATGATAACAATATAAAAAAGCTACTATATTATTAGGCTATTGTAACACTTTAAAAATGTTATTGTAAATATATATTAATGACATTTAAAAAAAAAAAGTTACCATTGATATATAATATGTTATAAAAAGTTAAAGAAAATTTTTATCATAACATTTTAACATTAAACAGCAGATGTTTGTCACCTCCATACCCCAAAACCTAAGAGAAGCCTGCATGTGTAAGAGCTTCGGTTCTAGTCTCTCAAGACTGACTCTCCAATGGTACACCAACCTTCCCCACAACACCATAAGCTCCTTCGCCTAGCTTACCAACACCTTCGTCAAACAATTCGCCAGCAGCAAGAAACTTGAAAAGTTGTCGACCGATCTATACAGAGTCCACCAGAATCGAGGAGAGCCACTCCGAGAGTATGCTAGTCAGTTCAACAAGGAGAATATCTCCATCCCATTTTGCAATCCTAAAATAGTAGTGGATGTTTTCAGGAAAGGACTCCTCCTTGATGGAGACCTATATAAAGATCTTACCAAACATGGCTACAACACCATGGAAGATGCTTTAGCCCGAGCCATCACTCAAATCAGATGGGAAGAGGATGAGATGAATCAAATCAGACACACCTCTTATGATGACCCTCGTTAGAGGCAGAATGACTGACGCCTTGAACCTCACTAGTATGAACCTCATCCCTCATCTTCATCATGCGGCTCCAACAGAAACAATAAGGGGCTGTATGATCACTAGCTAGCTCGGCCTGCAAACCGACCACCTAACATTAGTCAATTCACAGTCTTAGAATACAACCTCAACATAGAACCAGCCCAAGTAGTAGTAATCATGAAAGGGATGGGACAAATAGTGAAGTGGCTAGCCAAGCTCAATCCTAAGATCGAGAGAGACACCTCCAAGTGGTGTGAGTTCCACAACGATCATGACAATAACACCGTTGACTGCATCACTATTCGTTTAGAGGTTATAGCCTTATTGAAGAGGGGACACCTTCGAGACCTATTGACCGACAATAGCAGGAACTGTTAGTGTATGTTAATGTATGCCCTAGAAACCATTTGCGCTGTCAGTTTCAGAGCATTTTGTCTTGTATCAATATATCATAAATAATAGAAGAAAAAGATCTTCAATTCATATATATAAATTGCTTCCTTTATACAGTCATGCATTTAAAATAAAGTATGTATATGAATAGTCCAGATGATTTATTTAATTAGTAAATGAATTTATCAAAAGGGTCCCTACGGAAGCAATATTATTGGGGAAACTATATTGCATAGTAGGCATACTAGATGCTTTCGAAAGATATCATGAGTTGATATAAGTACGGATGACGATAATGGTCATTCACTAAGGCATTAGTATGGATTAGCGGTTGGTGAACTGTTTTTCGAATGTGACCGAATAATGAAAAATCACTTGGAAAAGCATGTAGTCAATGATTTATCTTTTGATTATATCAGTGCATGATGTAGTCCTTTAACTTGAGACATTGTGGTCAGATCTGATATGGATGCGTATGGTTCATATGGTACTGCATAAGTACGAGACAAGTTATGTTTCGTATGATAAAATCTATTTGGTCATGCGTTGTTCATATGTGAAAATGAACGATGGTTAAGACGAGATCCATTGACTCGAAAATATAGGATCATGAGTACCGCTGACTCCATCCAGATCTGGATTCCTGGATGAACATCGATAAATGTCAGAAATGAAAATCTCTGGCCAGAGTATATTATTAGTCACACGAAAGTAAGTTTTTGATGACAACATCCAGACATATTGATCCACGATTCATTAGAAAATCAAGTTTAGGATTTTGACATTCCATGAATCTGTACTTGATCAGGATATATCAATGGAGGAACTTTACCTGCATGGTACATATGATCTGAAAAATGGTTTGATGAAGTATTTCTTCATGTGGTTTAGGGACTATGGCACATTGCTAGATGTTTACCATAGCCGTTGGGCCTCCGAACAAGTTTCTGGATTCATCTAGAACCAGCTCACGGCTAATCTACGGTGGACCTACATGGTCACACCAATAGCCTTGAGAAGTTAGAGAAGGATAAGAGAGAGATGATTATCTGAAGAGGACTAGCACCTTCCGAGGGTAATGATAGGATTTCTATGGTAATTGTTACATAGAAAATTATTTGTGATATTTTAAAGGTTAAAATGGTCAGGAAATAATGAATTGTATTTAAGTGTTATATCTTAAAGCATTAAGATAAATGAGATGAACTAAAATAACCTTTTAATAGTTAAAGGGTAAAAAGGTAAACTTACAGGTTATTAATGTAAACTAATGTAGTTTACATGGGCCTTTAAATAATATTTATTATTCAAAGGCCAAATTAATAAATGCTTGGGCTCTTTTTAAAATAAGTTTTATTAGGGCATGCAAGTGAAAAAGAAGTAATTATAAAATGGCCCATGTATATGTAAATCCAAATGGTTGCATTTTAAGTCAAGTTGTTCATTGTTCACTCAAATGAAAAACACAAGCTCTCTCTCTAAGGTTCGGCCACCCTCTCTTTCTCTCAAGGTGGCGTTAAAGTGTGGAGGGTTCATAGCTTTGAATCTTGGCTTCATCAAACCTAAGCTTTAAGGAGAAGGTATAATGTTAATTTGTACTTTATTTAAAGTTTTTGATTCCCCTAATCCATATCTTAGCTTGCATGTCTTGTTTACATGTTTTCCATCATTTTTTCCACCACCTCTTCATGGTTCTTTTCAAATGGTATTAGAGCTAAAAGCTCCTTGCATGTCCAATTTATAAGCAAAATTGACATTTTCCAAGTGTTCTTGTGTTCATCATGTATGAAAGTGACATGCATGTTCTTTTTTTGGCCTAGTAATAAGATAATGAAATGTTTATTGTTTTTCCTTGGAATGAGATTCGGCCAAGGCATAAAATGTATAAAGATGTTTTTGATTTTGTAATTTGAAGCATGCAAGAATCATTATATGTTTAATTTATATATATACTATTTATGGTAACACAAGTGTTCATGTATTCCTTGATTAGTGCATAGAATTTTTCTTGCTAAATTCGGCCATGCATTTTTTTTTTTTTTTTTTTTTTCATTTGATTCTTGTTTTATTCAAATGAGTTTGTAATGTGTTTTGGAAGTTGTTCCATAAAGGGCCTAAATGCATCCTTGGATGATGGTTATTTCATGAGATGTATTAAGAAATAATCATGCATGTTCATTTCCATGACTTTGATTAAATTGTTCCTTTAATTTGATTAAAGTGTATTTTGTATTAAGAGTACGCAAATGTTGCAAGTGTTTAGTGGTGGAAAATAATGATAGCATGAAGTTATGGATTATTAAATCATGTGATGAATTATGATATTATGTATGCATGATGATGGTAATTTTAATGTATGATATTTAATTTGATTAAATTATCATATAATGCATCACTGCATGACATAATTTATTATATTTTTGAAATGTAATAATTTGTTTTTGAATAGATTCAAAAAAATGATGATGCAAGATGACATGATTGTTTTTTAAAAGATAAATGTATCATAAAAATTATTACTTTATTTAAAGTAATTTGTGTCATAGAATGATTACTCTTAAAGTAATAAAAACTCATTTATCTATGTCATGCATGACTTTTTTGAAAAGTTTTGAAATGATGTTAATAATTAAATAACAAAAAATCATTATTATATCCTTGGGTGGAATATGACAAAAATGTTTGTATAATGATTCCCTTGAAATGTGTAATTGTTGCATATCTAGAGTTATGATAAAATTACCATATATATATATATATATATATGTGTGTGTGTGTGTGTGTGTGTGTGTGTGTGTGTGTGTCATAAATTGTTTATATTCATGCTTTTAAATAATTGTTTATTATATTTGGTATGAATGGTTTAATATTTATTCATGTGATGATGAATATTAGATTAGAGGGTTGATCATGGGTGCCATTTAGTTTTCAAAATATTCAAAAGGGTTTGTAATATTCTTTTATTAAATGGCTTGTAATAATTAAATTTTATTTATTTATTTATTTTAATCGGGCCTGCGTGCCTAAGATCCAATTTGTAATTGAATTGGCTGGACAGGAACTCGAAGAGCATCCGGATGATGATCCGATTGAAGATATAGGATTAGGTTAAATATAGTTTATCTTTAGAATGTATTTTCAAAAAGCTCCATGGTTAGCCCACATACTTAATTTATGCATATATGTGATATGTATGGAATGTTAGCTAAACATGGCATGTTGAAAAAATTAATTAAGGTTAAACCTAAATCCCCCCAATTAAAATTATTAAATTCAAGTCTCCTATTATGGGATAACTAAATTCTTTAATATAAATTTTAATATCCCACAATTTCTATTTTGCGAGGGATATGATCTTTATATCATAGAATTAAGTTGATCTTGTTCTTGGATGAATATTTTCATCTTGTCCAAGATTTCTATTATGTGAGGACATGATGAAAATATCATCCTAGGGTTCGGATTTAACTAGCTTAGGGTACTAAGAATTCTATTATGTGAGGTATCCGAAGCTAGGACAAGGAATATTGATCAAATCTTATATATTGATATAAAAGGAAAATAGTTTCCTACTTATTAAACTTAATTGACCAAGAATTCAATTACATGAGGTTAATTGAATTTAATAAGAAATTGATTCCCCACTAAGAAATTTAATCCAACCAAAATGTTCAAATCCTATCTAAGGGAGTGTAGGACTCGAATAAAATAACGGGAGC